TCAACTTTTGATTGGCATTCAGGACGCCTCCGAGAGACGACTTCAGCTCCTTACTTTGGAGCTAGGTATTCAGCACGGAGGAAACAAAGGTGCCAAAAGTACGAAAGGCGGAAAAAAGAACAATCCTGAAGGTGCCACTGTGTTGGCAACTGTCATCGATCGTAGGCATGCGCAGAATGTCGTCGACTCTTGCAAGGTCGTGGATGGAGACCACTCTGCAATCCTGATTCTTTCTGAGTCGATGGATGGTCGGCACGAATTGAGCACCCAGGCACCCTGGAGTGTTCTCACAAAGATATCGCTTTCTATTCTCTTCGTTGACAATACTAGAAGCTTGCAGTATCGAGGCAGGGCCTTGGATCGCGACGCCACACAGAGGAAGTCTGAGGTTATTGATTTCAGCAATGGGAGTATTGTTGGTGTACGCCATCCCCGACAAGGGGGTATTGTTGACGTTGTTGATGCTGAAGGCCGGCTTCATGAACTTCGAATACAACTTGAGCCGAGATCCCCTCATGTTCGCAAGGTTCTCGATGTTTGTCGAAGCATATTGCCCCATGCTCTCGGCGAACAAATCTATGCCGGATGGCTCCATTGTATGCAGTGGTTAGGAAGTTACGAAGAATCAACTACAGATATAGAATGGTCTGCTATGACTGTTCTACTCCTATCTTTATTCCTGAGCCTTGGCCGCAAGGATTCAAAGCCATTTACCAAGGCCCGTCTCCCCATTCGCAGGGGAAGGCCTGCTTCGGGCTCTTTTAGTTCCATAAAAGAGTCTGAAGACTGGAAGTCGTTGGAGGCCGGTGAAGCGTCCAACTCGTTGGGCTGTCCAACATGGATGATGAATGGGGGCTGGGGATGGGTATTGGATGAAGATACGGATAATATAATATCTTCGGCAGGAGATGAGAACCTGCCCGTGCCATTCATTTCCAGCCATGTCTCTTTAGCCAAAGAGTATATAGTCTCTGCACTTGGCGAAACAGCATTCGGACAGGCTGGGTACATGCCAACATCTCTAGCTAAAAGCATGGAAAGTCGGCGCAAGGTAGCTGTTGATGTGTTTATGGGCCTGCACTTGCTTCTTGAAGAAGAGAAGTTGGATATCATGACGCCAGAATTCAGATCACCGGGCCGTGCTGATCTTCGCGTTATCATGTGTCAGATCGCTCGTTGGTTTAAATGGCATAACTTTACATCCATATACGAAGCGGGCATACAAGAAGACATCGACCACCGCCATGACTCCGGTAAGCGTAGAAGCTCTTGATTCAACGGTCAACACTAACCGTCCCATAGATCTTAATCTGAGGCCCGCGGTACCCCAGCCTCCTATACAACCGGATGTCATCTCTTGGATCCAGGCAAGACTTACTGGAGACCGAAGGGTTTCTTACGTAACTCCAGCAGATATCTACTACGCTGGCTCGCAGTTATCCGAAGCAGACAAATCGCAGGACCGACGATGGGAGCCTATACTCCCGAGGACGCTCATGTTCAAACAGTTTTTCAGACTTCTGAAGCCAACCACCAGTGCGATACAAATGGTGGAAGCCATGCGGGATACCGGGATCACAAATTTGGTGCTTGATAACCTTCCAGAAGCTGTTCTTGTACCTTTGAGGGATGCCATCTCGTTGTGCCAACCACATCCACCAACCTCTTGGTCAAAGGACCTCCTCGAGCTGGTTGATCGTAGAGACATCAGTCTCATACTCACCCCTGGAAAGCGCCCCAAAACAAGCGCATCCAAGATTCTAGTAAGATTATAACACCTTTTTCGCCGATGGTTTACTGACGAGTTTCAGACGCCCACGCACAACGCAACCTGGGACTACAAGCTGCTTTGTCAAAGCGTTGATGAATCAAACAACGTTGGCTATGACGAAGGCGAAGGAACTGAACGTCAAGCTGTTATTCGCTCCTTGTTCAAAGAAGATCGTCGCCTAAACGAAGCTCAGGACTTACTTTCAACCAACAAAGCAAGACTAGTTCGACTGGATCCTCACCCAAGCTGGCCAGAGAGTGAATATCTTGAGAAGCAAAAGGAGCTGGTTACAAGAATCGCTACAGGCACCTTGGCCATCCCTGCTGGGCGAGGCCTGTTATATTACAGTCTACGCTATCCGTTGATCACGCAGAAATTCCATATCGGCGGATTCAATCTCAACTGCATCGTCAGGCCGACAAACACCACGGTGGGCGTAGACAAATCGCAGTTCTCAGAAGAGAAGGTCTGTTGGGGCTTCTTCCATCAAGGTGTTGCAGCTGGACTCGCCATATCTCCTCAAGCCCAAGGCATTGATACGTCTTGGATTCTCTACAACAAACCTGACCAGGACCTCAACAACCGCCATGCTGGATTCTTGCTTGCTCTTGGTCTCAACGGCCATCTGAAGGATGTGGCAAAATGGGTAGCGTTCAAGTACCTAACGCCAAAACACACCATGACCTCTATCGGCCTTCTTCTGGGCCTGGCTGCATCCTACATGGGTACGATGGACTCGCTGATTACGCGTTTGCTTTCTGTCCACGCTACGAGGATGTTACCACGTGGTGCAGCAGAACTCAACCTATCACCTTTGACACAAACTTCGGGGATAATGGGTATCGGGCTTCTCTATGCCAACAGCCAACATCGGAGAATGAGTGAAATTATGCTCTCCGAGATTGAGCACATTGATGAGGAGGATGAAGAAGAGCCCCTGAGAAGTGAGTGTTACCGGCTGGCGGCTGGCTTCTCCCTTGGGTTCATCAACCTAGGCAAAGGCAATGATCTCAAAGGCTTGCACGATATGAAAGTAACAGAGAAACTTATTTCTCACGCTACTACTACCAAAAACATCGAGATAGTTCATGTCTTGGATCGCGCAGCAGCTGGGGCCGTCATGGCTTTGGCCCTTATTTATATGAAGTCAGAAGATCAGATCGTGGCGCGCAAGATTGATATACCGGACTCAGTCTTGCAGTTTGACTATATCCGACCTGATATTCTCCTTTTGAGAACGCTAACAAAGAACCTCATCATGTGGTCAAAGATTGAGCCAACCTTTGCTTGGATTCGCAAAAATTTGCCACGCCCTTACCGCCCACAGTTCAAGCTACAATCAACTACAAAGCTGCAGTCAACTGACATGGCATTTCACAGCATAGTTGCTGGCCTCTGCTTTTCTATCGCGCTTCGCTTCTCTGGAAGTGCTTCCCCTAAAGTCCGAGATCTTCTACTTTACTATTTGGATCAGTTCATGCGAATCGCACAGATACCATCTACGGCAAGCATGCATCCTAATGGTACACCGCCCTACGATGAAGAACTAACTCGAACCAACGCGCGAATGTGTCAGGATGTTGTGGCCATATCAGCATCCATTGTCATGGCTGGAACAGGCGATATCCCCGTTCTTCGTCGCCTCCGCGCACTCCATGGTCGTGACGATCCAGAAACTCCCTATGGATCTCACCTTGCTGCGCATCTTGCAATTGGAGCTTTATTCTTGGGATGTGGGACAGCAACATTTGGTACCAGTAACCTTGCCATTGCTTCTCTACTTGTATCGTTCTATCCTATCTTCCCTACAAATGTTATGGACAATCGCTCCCATCTACAGGCTCTTCGCCATTTTTGGGTCTTGGCCACAGAGCAACGATGTCTTGTTACCAAGGATGTTCTCACTGGCCAGCCGATTTCTGCACCTGTGAAGATCAAGATGCGCAAGAACACGTCAACAGAACCCGTCTTGACTCGAACAGCGCCCTGCATTCTGCCACCGATTGATCAAATAGCCAGTCTCTCGACCGCTTGTGGGCCCGAGTTCTGGGACGTGGAGCTCGACTTCTCCAACCCAGAAGTTCGAGCTGCTTTCGAGGATACGCAGAGTCTTTATCTCCGTAGACGTCCACCACGCGAGGGGGCGTTCGCCTCCACCCTTCGGGCAATAGGTAGTGATGAGAAGGGCACAGATCCCATGGAGTGGGTATTTGGCCTCGACAGCCTTCGTGGCATTAGCTACGCAGAGAGAGCGGTGGTGCTTGAGCGAGGAGATGACACCCAGCATACGGGGAGTGCCGTCGATGCAAGATTGGAGATGGCAAAGGGTATCGTTGAAAGCACGGACAGAGAGCGGCTTGAAGGGGCGAAGTTACTGTTTGAATGGGCTTCTGTGCGTGGTCGATTACGCGAGTCCAATATGCTCGACAGTCAGGAAACCATCACAGAATCAAACGCACCTCCTGAGACTGAAGGACAGGACGAGCAGGAGACCACAGCGGAAGACGAGGGCGTTTGGTGGATGCGAGACAGCGTGGTTGAGAGCCTCAAGGGCATGGTATGGCTTGCTAGTCGGGAAGGCGAGTAGCAATATTTGTGACCCCTTTGAGTCAGATAATCCATATGTTAGCTATTGGAGGAGTTACAAGTGTTTTTACCACGGCTTGGCGTCCTGGGGGCAGAGCATCAAATGTGGTTACGAGCTATGAGAGTAATGATAGACAAATCTAGGTTATTGAAGAGCTTGCAGATATCCATAAAATCGGCATACTGTGACGGCGCTGCGCCACACAATCATCACAAAAGAACGCGTCTGAGCTGAGGCGAGTAGATGATTCATTTCAACAGTCAACGTAAATTCCATTATCCCCCTTTGCCTCTTCCCTTTTCCGAGAACGCCATGCAATGCAAACCGCATCACCGGGGATATACAGGGCCTCTAAAACCACCGCTTCTTCCATTTGGCCCGTGTTTTCATCTTGCCTCGCCGCTCTATCACTTCCTCCCTCCGTCTTATGCTTTTGCTATATCCTGCCCATCTTTCAAATGGATTGGTCCTCCTTATAAAACAGGGAGGCCGTATCTTGCTCCCCCCTTCAAGCAGCGGAGGGTGCCATCTTCCGGCGAAGAGGTATCTCGCGTCCCTCTCTTTGGATTGCGTTGCCCCATTTGAGTCATTGCAAAGAAAAACCACAAATAAAAAAAGCCCATTTTCAACTCGTCATGCTTTTTACTTTGAAACAGCAGCGTTGAGTACCTGTGTCCTGAAGAAGCCACCCTTGGTCTTCTCAATGACCTGCTGGTAGACATTGTTGGGAGGGTGGTTCATGATCACAGTGCCGTCCTGGCTATCGATCTTGGCATCTAATCGAGTCTCGCGGATCAGGTTAACAATCCACTTCTCACCGTCGTCGGGGTTCAGGCCGAGCTTGGCGCTGAGGTCGCGAATGTTCATTCGGCTGAAGATCTTGCAGTAGCTCTCGCAGATAAGGTGTCGGGCGGCATCGACAAAGGCATCGGCAGAAGAGGCAAGGAAGAAGTCGCTTCGGCAAACCTCGGCGGCCATGGAAAGAGCCTCACGGGCAGCCTCGAAGTCGTGGGCGATGTAGAGAGCGTTGACGAACTGGGTGATGGGGTCGGTGTACTCGTAGGCCTCTTGGCGGACGTAGCGAATAATGTCCTTGATCTGCTTTTGTTGGATTGAGCTGTTGCGAGCGCGACCACGGCCGGTGATAACAGCAGCGATCAGGTATCGCAGGATCCAGGGGCAAGAGGTCTGGATGGTGTTGATATAAGGAGCGGAGAAGAACATTTCCAGGATGGGTTCCCGGGCACCCTCCCAGTTGAAGAGAGGGAAGAGGGACCAGTGGAGAAGCATTGTTCGGTGGTCGAGCTGAGCACGGGGGTTGTTGAAGAGCTTTGAGTCGATGTTTTCTCTCACGTTCTTGAGCTCGTCGACAGCGGACTCCCAGTTAGTCTGGAGGATCTCGGAGGCCAGCTTACCCCAGGTGGCAGCAGAGACCTTGTCGTTATCGGTGGAGAGAACTCGGAACTGGTAGAGCATATCGGCGGCGGGACCGTACTGACCGCATCGGAACTGGAACTGGCCAAAGTCGTAGAGAGCGTTAACCATTTCCATGGTAACCTAGTGAGAGGCCTGTTAGCTATACTACATCGGGTGACATGAGAGCTCCTTCAACGTATCACTTACTCCGTGCTGGTTCTTGAGGAACTCCAAGTTAGCAACCTTGTCGCTTCGGAGGCCATTGACGACTTCATCCTGGGTCAAAAGGTCTGCGATCTTGGCGGTGGCTTGCTCGTAGTTCTCCAACTGTGAAAGAACCTCCTGTCTCTTCTTGTTGTACTCCTCGGGAGCATTCTCGACACCGTGGAGCTCGCAGTAGAGAGTCGCGACATAATCGGTCATGTTTGTGTCCTCCAAGAGCTTGATCTTTCCGGAAAGAAGCTCCTTAGCCTTGGCATCGAGACCCTGCTCCTCAGCCCTCTCGCTCTCGAACTGGATCAGAGGGAAGAGCAAATGTCGGCTCAGGTTTGGCGCAAGGCGGGGCATGATCGACGAGCCGTCGGCCGAGACGGCGTTGAGAACATCCTCCATTATGGGCGATATTTTAGGTTTTGTTCGGAAGGGTGGGAGGTTGGTAAATTTCGGTCGAGCGAAGGAGGAGGGTTCGGTCGGGAAGAACAAAAAAGTGACTCGCCGATAGTCGTGATACTGGATTTGATGGAGGGGCAGATTTTTGGTGAATTTCGCCAATCCACTCGGTGGTGTGGGGTTTAGCTTGCTTTCCGTGGATTTACCGGCGATTGGAGATTAGGAGTCATGTGATCTTGAGATTTTCCCTTCAGCGAGCATTTGGCGATTAGAGTGCGACGACAGGCGAGACTGAGTGAGAGCGAAGGACGATCGAAAGGTTATTCGGCAAATTGAAATTGACATATTTTCTTGGGGGAAGCATCTTGTCCCGCTCCGAGAACTTTGACCCTTGTCCGACTTTCACCACACTCGAAAAATCTCAGTCGACGACGAACTCTAAACCTCGAACCATCAATCTACACAACCTCACGATGCGTTTCTCCGTCTCTCGAGCCCTCTCAATAGGGCGCCAGGCTTTCTCTCAGCAGCCTGTATTCTTCACACAGCGAGCTTTCCTCACCACAGTCAGGACAGCCCCCGCTCGCAGCCCAAATTTCAAGAAGCACGTCTCGTACAAGCCGAACCCTGGGGACCAGCCCAGCAACCCCAACAAAAAGAACAAGATTCCTTACCAAGCACGACCTCTTGAGCAGCCCACAGTCCCTTCGCCATCGAAAGATCGCAACCGAATCGCTGCGCATCTTCAATATATCATCAACCGTACACCATATGCCCAACTTCCCGTCTATCGCAAGTGGATGTCTGGAGGCAACCGCTGTATCGTTATTATCAAGAAGGTGAAGGGCGACCACCTCAAACTGGTCAAGGATTTGTCGGACGACCTACAAATTAAGGCAGAGGACATTCGAATAAATCCCGTAACACAACATATTGAAATCAAGGTCAGTCGGGAATTTATTGCAGCTGCTGAATTCGTAGCTAACACTATTACAGGGCGACTTGTATGCCCAGACGTTGAAATGGCTTCTCGACGTCGGCTTTTGAAGAAACTCCATGACGAGTGATGTATGAAGGGTTCTGGCAGATCTTGTTTTTTGAACAACATGAATGAGGATGTAAAAAGTGTATCATATGGACGAGTCGCCCCTATTTTAGACGACCAAAGATGTACAATACATATAGTAATGCAAGACGCATCATAGAAGCATATTTTTGTTTGTCCCAAAAAAAAACTTAATTTGTTCACCATTCAACATCCTGTATACACCCGTGCATAGACAAGCAGTTTCATCGTCACCTGTCATGTCCCCAAACCATCGACTCCAGAATGCAAGTCTAAACGAGAAGCACACGCTTCAAATGACAAGACACCAATCCCATGTTTCCCAAAACACTAACATACAAGCTTATCCGGGTAATATGGTGGGAAAAATCCAAGAATGAACCCTCATGTAGGCAAATTATCTCCCAAGGGCAAAGAAGGTGGAGAGTTTCTGTAACACCTCTTCCTTTGACCACTCTGCAGATTGCATAGACAAAGCCTCCAGAAGAGCATGAGGTGCCGGCATGGCTTTAGCTGGTATCGACGATGTAGGATCGTTGACGTCTCTAGCCTTCTCGGCTAATCTCCTTAAGAGTGCCACCGCTACAACAACGATATAAACCAACTCTGGGTCTTTTCGTGGGCCTGCCCGAGGTCCTTGAGCTTGGGGCTGCTCGTATAGGTGACTCAGGTCGCGGATAAGCCTGAAGAGGTTCTGGGCAAAATCATTGCCAGACGAGAGCCAGGTTTGTGCAACCCCACTATCGTAACCTGGGGCGAGTGACGCCAATATCTCGGCCGCAAGCAGTCCTTGCATTAAGAAAGGCTTGCGGACCTCGACAAGAGATGGCAAGTTGGGCTGACGTATTTGTGACTTCGCCTTGTCCGGAATAGGGGCTATAGCCAATCCAAAGGCCCGTGTAAGCAACTCGTAAGGGGGGCTGCTAGCAGAATCAAGGGCAAAGACAGTTTTGTAGTGTGTTCGATTAGGCTCATCGCGTGCCAGTAACTTTGCTAGGGCATCAACAGCATGGGGCAGGTAAGCGTGCAGGCTTGGCTCGTATTGCGAGAAGAAGAGAGTTCCGTCCGAGACTGTGGGATTAGGCGCCGGCGCGAATGCTAGGAGGAATTGTAGAAGGCAAAGGGCCTGCTCTCGTCCTGGAATCTCTATTGTGCCAGCGATGTTAGAAAGCAGAATAACAACATCCTTCATAAAGTCCAACGTATTATTCTGGGATCTTAGAAGCATCATCCGCGTGCCGAGATATCTGATGACAACGCAAAGAAACTTGATAACAATCTCATCTGCAAGAACAGAATGATTCTCGTTTGCCTCGCCAGGGAACGATAAATTGCGCAAGATTGTCGTTACACATATTAATCGATCGACAGCTCGTTCTAACTCATATTCTTGAGTGCCGAAAACGGGCAAATCGCGAATGTTGAACCGCTCTAAGCGACAAGCTCTCAGAACGTCTTCATAAGGTGATAACTGAATCTCGTCAGAAACCTCAACAGTATGCTCGGCCAACATCTCCACCTGATCCTCAGCACACTCGATTAGAGCCTCTATCAACTCATCACAGTATCGAAGTTGGATGAAGTGCAGCTGGTTCATGGAGCACGATGCAGCTGCCAATACGTCAAGGGCCAGGCGTGTCTCTCCGTGAATTCCACTCTGCAAACTCTTGGTGAGAGCGGCGATGTCGATATTGCCAAGTTCATGTAAAGGAGGCACGTCTGGTTTCCACCGCTCCAACTCTGTGCCCAATTTGCTAAGGGCATTTAGATCAACACCTCCAAACGTGGAAAGCTCCCGAGCACATGGACTATACTCATCGGATTGCGGAGCCAATCGGGGCATTTTTTCTGCGACTGCGGTAGGAGCCACTGAGGCCTGTCGTCCCTCACTCTGCGACATGCTTCCTGCTCTTCGGGCTGCAGGAGATTGGGCACTGGAGAAATCTGGCACAGCAGAGCCTTCCATAGACTGCGACAAGGTGCGAGGGGTCTGGCCTGACATCGTCACGGGTTGTGGCTGCATCTGAGACTGCGGCGTTGAAAATCCATTAACTGGAGGTTGGCCGGGCGTCATTTGCTTCATGGGAGTTTGCTGCTGCATCTGAGGCTGCTGCCCGAGTTGGGGCATCGCGCCTTGATTCATTTGCTGCCCGGGTTGCATCTGCTTTTGTGGTGTGGCCTGTCCCATAAGTGTGCCTTGAGATTGAGGCTGTTGTGGTTGTGATTGTTGGGGCTGCTGTTGCTGTTGCTGCTGCTGCTGTTGCTGCTGCTGCGCTTGCTGCTGCTGCATCAGTCTCTGCTTCTGTTGTTGGGCGAGCCACACTTCTTCAAACTTATAGAGGTTGCGTTCATAGATCGTCCTTAACGCTTGCGGTACTACAGGGTTCTGAACTTGTAGTCCAAGCATCTGAGCCACATGCGGCCAGCCATTTGGAGTTGTAGTGGCCTGCTTATAACCTCCTTTGTTCTGGACAGCTTGAAATAGCAACATTAGGTTAACTGGTCGGTCCATAACCATTGGGTTTGGGTCTAAAGGCAAGCCCTTCGAGTTCATCAGAGTTGTGAGATTCTTCATGAACTGTTCGGGATTCACGTTGGCCATCATCCTCTGCTGAGGACGCATGCCTCCCTGCTGCATTTGGCCATTGGGCATCCCAGGTACCTGCTTGTTAGGCATCATACCACGGCCCATATTTTGCGCCTGCATTTGTGCTTGCATTTGGACAGTGTTGCCTTGAAGCTGTTGCTGCAACCTCATCTGATAGGCAGCCATCTTCTGCTGGTCGGTCAGTCCTTGGCGTTGGGGGGTTTGTTGCCCCGGCGGCTGCTGGCCTTGTTGCTGCTGTGGCGTTCCTTGCTGCTGTTGAGATTGCTGCATCTGAGGAGGATACATGTTGCCCTGCATCTGACCCATATGCTGTGGCATTTGACCCATCTGCTGGGTCATCATTTGGTTGCCAGCCATCGCGTTCGGGTTCGGTGAAGGTCGAGCGTTCGAAGGAGATGCAGCAAAGTTCGGGTTGAATCCTTGCGCCATATTCTGCATGTAATGGTTTGGCTGTGGAGTGCCATGTTCGGAAGGTATCGGCGATGTCTGAGGATTGAATTGCTGGCCACTAGGCGAAAAAGGATGCGGCGATGCGGTCGCAACTCGCTGAGGAACACTTCCTGGTCGCATTTGGCTACTCATAATCGGCGAAGGACTTGCGTTGGCGGAGCCGTTTGCTTGAAGATGGGAGAATTGACCGGGGTTTTGCTGAACCGCGCCAGGCTGAAAGCCGCCCGCAAATGATTGCTGTTGCGGTGTCTCGGAGCGCGACGTCGGAAGCATTCCGGGATTTTGACTAGGAGAGCCAGCGAGACTTTCGTCACGAGGGCGTGGACGTTTCGATGGAATGACGGAATTGGTTTGATATACAGAATTCTGGAAGGAAGGTGAGGCATTGCGCATTGAACCTGGGCCATTAGGCATGGCGGCGCCCATTTGTTGCTGGTTCTGAAACTGAGCAGGATTGAATTGGCCAGAATTGGCCATAAATGCAGAGGGGTCCATCATGGAACTGACAGAATTAGGATCGTTCATATGAGGAAAACCGTTGCCATTGTGGTTAGGGACGGCGTCGTTCATCCAGGTGCTCATGGCGATCGACCCAGCAGGCTGCGCGCGACAGAGTTAGCGATCAGCAGGCACGCGAAATGCGTCCATGGAGGAGCGCCAAGAAGACGAGGATACAATGACGAAAGGCTGAGATGGGAAGCGATGAATGGAAGATGAGGCAGTGACACGGTGGTGATGGGACAAGTCGCGTCGCGGCGTGGGTTTGGTGGAGAGTAGTGTAGTGCGAAAGACCAAACCAGACCAGCGAGAAGACCTTGTGTCAGCCTGCCAGTACTGGGAATGGACTAAGGCAAAGGAGACAGGAAAGTGGGCAATAAAAAAGAGCACGGATTGGTGGGCACGGTGGTCGGTGCAGGGCAACGCGCTTCGCTCAAACGGCAAATGGTAGATGGGAATGACGGGTCGGGAGAGAATGGATGGAGAGGGAGATAGGCAGAACGAGGAAATCCAGCAGGAAACGAGCGCGCGACAGGATGGACAGGACCTGGTGGAAGCAAAAGAGCAAGGGACAAGGTACTGTAGCAGCCACTTTCAGTTGCCAGCACCGCCAACAGTGGAGAGTGGACAGGGCGACGGTGGTTAGCCAGCGAGCCAGCCAGTGAGGGAGAATTTTTCGCGGTTACGGAGAGAATGAACCAAGCCAAGGACGCGCACACTGAGACCAGTCCATGCAAAAGTGCGGGCGAATTGGGCTAGCCAACCAGACCAGGGCCTAGGTAGTTGAACAACCAACGGGGGAAGAGGGAAGTCGAAAGAATAGTGGACAGACAAGGCAGGCAAAAGTGAAGCGAAACCGACGAGAAACGACAGCGTTGCCGTACAACACCATATATCGCACTCTGTCTTCAAGGGAAAGGGGAGGCACATACACAGGTAGCAAATAACAGTGCAGAGATCGAATAAGGAGATGGAAACCTTACCAAAACGAAAGCGCGCGCGCGTTTGTAGTAACTTTTGGGATGAACTGCAATGCTTCAAGTCGGGTTCGCCTGGGTTTCAGCGGACGGTGAAGACTGGTCTTCTGAGTCGGGGGGAGGCTGAGCCTGTTCTGCGGCGCGCTTGCTTGGCTGCTCTTGGCTTAGCGTCGTTGATAAGTCCACTCGAAAGTCGTATCTGTAACCAATTGTACATCGATGTTAGTGAGTGAGTAATTTGATCAGTAACACTGATAGTGCTAGCTGGATGACCCTCGTCAATCGCTAACAGCTGAACAAGTCTTCGTCTCCACAACGCTAACATGAGTCTTGGTTCCAAATCTAGAAGCCAACATTCTTATAAATGCTGCATGTGACAACCAATGCCTTGTGGGCCATCAGCAACAATGACTTCAACTGCAATAGATCCATGACTCCATGGATATGCGACAGTTTGTCGGCAAGAGAGAAAAGCCATTGCCGTATATCAAATGTAAAGTTCCAGACCTGTTGAAACAACATGAAATACCGAGCGGCACTTCTGATATTATCTTGTCGCAGGATCTCGATCTCATTGTATCGGATTCTGGAACACAAGACATGGAGACCAGATACTTGGCATGCTTGACAGCTGGGTCATCTCTGCAAGCTGGATAATAAAGTAGGTGAACGCCAGGATTTGGTGCCTTTCTCGAGTCCAAACTTGACGATTTGAAAGGGGGAAATATGTGGGTTCTCGACGAAATAATGCGTCCCGAGTGAAACAGCAGCCGTCTAAAGCATCATTAAATCAGTGGCATATCCGTATCCGCTCCATGTATTCCAACGAAAGGAGGGAGTCCAACTTGATGAGCACGCGGGATGTGTCGCACAATCTGGCACCACAAATGTTCAATGTAACGGTCCTCAAGACCAGCATCTGCCTCTACACACTTGTGTAGGTGCTGTCTCATCCAGATCGATTTCGACCGTATTCGGTCGCGGGTGCTGACTGCCCTGCTCTGCGCTGCGCTGCACATGCCTGGCCCATAAGTCCGCCCAGTCCAGTTCAGTTCTTTTTGGCCCCTGTGCTGGTGGCAGTGACCCGGGAGTTCTGGGCGCCCGGACTGGCATCTTTTTGGGGTCGGCATGACCCATACAAAGGAACGGGCCATTCGGCGCCAGGAACATGACAAACCCCTTCGGTCGTAACAGCACCGCTGCCACTCCAAGGGCAGTGTTGTCTTCGCTAAATAAATAGCCAGAATTCTCCGCGGTGTTTCTTCAAGCCATTCAGGCAAGTCTTTCTTCCCTTCCTATTTCTGACCGAAAGAGGCGCAGAGATTGTAGGCTTTGAGTCCTGGGATTGATTGTCTGTGGTGGCGCCTGATGCGGGCTGTCCACCCACCACTGGCGCTTCCCGGGTGGATGCCAGTGGATGGATCCTTGTCAGGCAGGTCGTCATGGCCAGAACAGCCAGCGCCTTCTCAAGTCTTTCTGTTCTGGGCTACCTTTGAGGAGCCGGTCAAGCCCGTCACACTCGTTTTGTCGTATAATCCATTCATCTTCGGTCTGTCGCTTTGCTGTGTTGGATGAGATGATTTTCTCCTGTGGTTTTTAATGCTGTTGTCAAGAGCCAAAGTAATTGAACTGCCATGGCTCCCACTAACACAACCCAGCGGCTTGGAGTGCCCTGAAAACCACTGGACCCGACCCGACGATTTGGAGACAGCTCCGCGTCCGTATAAGTGAGCAGCTCAAAGAACAAGTGTGAGCACAACAGCAACACAGATCAAAAGAGGAGGGAATCAGAACGAGGGGACAAAGGAGAAGAAGGTTAAAGTAGTTTGAGAGGGGAAAACTGGCGGGAAATGGGCAGTGAGAAGGAACGGGGGAAGGGGGGTAGTTATGTGAAATACCTTACCTTGCCTTGCCTACCTGCTGTACTGTACCGTACCTGGACTGGGCTTGTAACCTCATTCACTTTAAACAATTCAACTCCTCCATTTGTTAACGAAATTTTCTCCGCTCAACTGAGCTCCGATCATGTCGCTTTAATTGATAGTCTCTCCTATCACTTGTTTCATTTCTTCATGTTTGAACCCTTGGCTTAATTGCCAGTCTTATCGCACATTGGTACTTCCACACTGCAGCATGAGGTTGGGTGTCTGTTGTTCATCCTCAACCAAAGCTTCCAGGGTTGAGCCTAATCTGAGAGAGTCATGGATGGAAGGGCAACCCAAAGATTACTTTTCCTCCCGAGACCAGCAACTCTAACTCAATCCAAGACGTATCTCCTTATTTGCCTGTTGCTTTATACGTGTTCATTTTTGGCTGAACCTTTGATGTCCTCTTCAGATCCAACCTTGATCCTCTCATTTCTTACTCACGATCCGACCGCCCACTCACACTCTCCGGGTTGCGCACTGTACGATTCCAGATCATCCACGCGCCGCTTTGAGGTGGGTGACTGACTTGGCAGGGTCTGTTTGTCCCACGGCCCTAATGAACACGGTCAATATTCGCTATCCTTTTTGTTTATTATTTTATTTTCGTTGTTGGGTTCCCGGTCGAAGTACAGTGTATTCAGTAACAGTAATTAGCTGATGTTTGTTGGCTGGGTGTTGGCTGACCCCTCAAGGAATGATGGATAATTCAGGTCAAGATATCGCACAAGTTGACAGTTACTCACTGGCACAACAGAGTGGCAGACCACAAACTCGGCGTTAATCAAAACACTTTTCTTTCCCCTCTTTCCCTCTTCCAATCTCTTCTCTGTCTATCTCTCTAGTCCCATCCTCTTCTGCTGGCCATCTGTTGACCGCGCCTCTCCCCTCCATGTATGTAACTTACCGTGCTTTAATTCCCCTGTCGTAAACTCACCCCACATCAATTAAGAACGGGGTCAGTGGCAAATGATTTACTGTGCTACGATTACGGGCAGAGGCAGAGATAGCCAAAAGGGATAAGCCAATGCCTCAAATTGCTTATATCTCTATCACCAGGATGTGTTGTTAAGTGCTTGTGTCAGTGTTACTGGCCGGTCAGCAAAGCCCGAGAAGGGTGGTGAGCGATCAATGGAGGAATGGGCCAACCAGATGAAGGTTGCAGATCTATCTCGGTCCCTCGCTTTAGAAGCGCCTTCTCCTGTCCGTCTCAATGGAAGTGGCATTGCTTTTCTGTTCTTTAAAAACTAGTCTAGGTACATAGTAGTCATTGACACCACTTCTGTCTCTGCTCTGAGGTCAGAGCCGAGAAAGTTTACCTAAGAGCGCCTTTATGTCACTACAAACACATGTACTCATCCACAGCCTCGCTCAATCTCTCCCTCAAGAAACCAATCTGGTCCATCACAAACCAGTAAATGAAACCCTACTGATATAGAAACTAAGATTGCATATCTATTTCTTTTCACATGCTAAGCAACCAACCAGATTCTGGTCGAGCAAAGCTACACCTTGAGTGAAGCCCATCATGGTCAGTGCAGGACCCGGCGTAGGACGGCCCAGATACAATTCTGGCTTCCCCATGCATCGATAAGCTACATGATGCATGATGCCATAGTTAGAGAGTGTTCCAGTCGCTTGCAGGGCCAACGATCGCGTGGCATAGCGCCTTCTTCAGGCACCATGGCTTCTTGGTGGATATGGTGCTTCCTGGCAATTGCTTCATCAAGATAGGCACGACTCAGTACGCAACACTTTTTTTATTGGTGTGCCAACAGACTTACAGAGCACTTCGACTCCAAATGAATACCTCTTCACATTTGCGTTCTCGTTCTAAATCACGCTGATGTTGTTTAGCCCCACAAGTTAAGTAACTATGCGACGGGATGATACCAAAAGGCTGGGTCACCCTAACACCGGGCCGGGGCTTGCAACCACCACGCAGCGATCCCCAGTCGCGAGAAGTCTAAAGTGCCTAGAAGCTTGAGAATCATTGTGCATCGTTTCCATTGGCCATGTCAAAAGAAATTCGCAGATTTTAACATTTCTCATGCCGTGGAGATAGACAACTTTCTCGTATGAAACACGTCGAAAGAAGTTATATGTTAACACCATAGATGAGTCTTGTCAGTCATGTACATTAAGTTGTGTAACTTGATGGACTTTCATTCCAACCGTAATAAAAACGGCCATCAGCAGACCAATGAGTTACGTGTTTCACGGTCGACTCTAGATTGCAAAGAAACAACATAAAATTTCGAATTTCGCTCCATGATTATTTTCCTCCTAACCCCTTCTAAATCGCTTCCATCTTCTTCTTGGTATGCTCCAGAACTGCCCGAATACTCTCGTCCAGAGTATCCAATGCAAGGTATCCATCTATCCATGCGACAGTCTTCTTCTTCAATTCCATACGATCTGATGTGGTCTCCAAGTACTTGTTCAAGCGAACCAGTACCTCTCTGAGGTTCTTGGGGAATTCTGCTGTCTGAGGGTTGACACCCATGATTGGCTGTCGAATATAAACATTGCAAGTAGCCGGGCTGTTGGGGTACTCCTGATCGAGGACGGTGAGGACATGCTGCAATATCCTAGGCTGAGCCGGGACCTTTGTGAAAGTTGAGAAGAGGTTGAAGAATTTCTCGGCAGTGTTGGCGTTGAAGAAAGTCTGCTTCTTTGAAATATCGAAGATGGCCATGGGAAGAGCACCATCCATGGCGGGGTTGGATTTCAGCTGTTGCGCCGACTGCTTGTCGATAACCTTGGCTTGCGTGTTGGATGGCTCAGGAAGATCGTCGTCGTCCTCTTCGTCATCACTGTCGATAAGTCGCATTTCATCTCCCTCTTCCTCGCGATCAGGTCGGAGCACATCCTGGCCAGGCTTTGCCTCTGCCCTTCGCTTGTCGACCTTCTCGAGCCACTCCATCTCACTTCTCGCATATTCGACCCATAGCTGCTCGTTTGTGGTACAGAATCGGCAGCCTCTCATGAAAAATCCACGCGCAGCAGCCATGTCGCCGTTCTTGGCTGATCTGCGACCTGCCATGGCCCATAGCTCAGGGTCGGTGGGCATCATGCGCAGAGCATTGGTCATAGTCTTGCGCCAGCGCTTGGATGCCTTGACGCTTGAAATGTACGAAAGGTATTCTCGCCAAAGCGCACTGCTTCCTGGGTGTCGGTTGACGCCTCGTTCGTAGATCGCAAGTGTGCGACCCTGGCCAGCATGAGCCGAGTTCAAATGTCGAATTTTAAGACGCTTGCAGCGTTTCGTACGGAGGGACTCGAGAGACTGCTCCCATTGTGCGTATGAAGACCACTCCGAGGGCTTGTTTCCGGGCGACAGAACTCTGTGTTCGTAATCGTTTCGCTTCTGGACAATGGTGCGGATCTCTTCCTGGAAGGGCAGCAAGATTAGTTGACGATGTTTTCGCAAACCTAGCAAAGACGTACTTTTGAGAAAATCTCCTTGTCCTCCCATTCTCTCAATTGCGGCACAGCGCGTTCGAGATAAAATCTCGCCTTTTCGGCGACGCCAGCCATGTTGAAATTTGTTGACAAAAAGGAATGAGTATGGTCTGGAAAAGTATATTGGTTGGTTGTCGTCTAAGCTCAGCAGATGTGGAAGTTTTTTTGCGAACAAGGCTGGCAAGTTGGCAACTTTTTTAGTGGGACAATATTCAGCCTTGCCTGGGTGTTGTGCTGTGGTTGGGTCGCGGGCGCAGGGTCAACAATGAGGCCGCTAAAACCGATGTTCACCAAAAATGCTGATCTTGAGCTCTGTAATTTTCCCCCTCCTAGGTCCTGTCGAAAGCGCGCGCCGTTGTTTATGCCCCTCATCCCTACCCTGTCCTGCCTCTCATTCGCTTCGGGAAGGCGCGCGGGCCATTGTCAAAATCCGATTTCCGAAAACAACCTCCATGAACCCTGGCCTTTCTGCCCTTTAGTGGCTCCACTTTGAATTATAATCCAAGTATTACGTCGCGACGGAGGTAATGTTAAAGGTCCGAGGGCCGTTTCTGTTCGCCAAGAGGGCATCTCACCACTTTTGTCTTTGTTTATTATCGTCACTCGTTCTGAAACTTCAACTCTTTGCTTTGCGGATTGTCCGGATGGGACTCTAGAGTGCTTGTTTCGTTGTTTCCTCCTGCAAAATGACGTCCAAATACAAGGACAAAGACACCGGCGTCG